TTTTAAAGAAATAAAACACATATGGGTATACAATTATTCAATCCCACTGTCCTCTCCGTCTCAAAAGCATCCCATCCTCACAAGTAACCACTATTTTAGAATTGGAGTTTATCATTCCCACTGTATTTCTTTATTCACAATATATGTTGGGTATTCATTATAATATGAAGTATTATTTTACATGTTACATAGATGGTTTCATACTTCCTATAACTTGCTTCTCATTTTATATTATATTTCTAAGCTTTGTAGATATGGGTGGTTCTGTTTCATCTATTTTAGCTGCTGTACAGTGTGCCACTGTGTAAATACACAATTTATCCATTCTTCTGTTGATAAAAATTGAGGTTGTTTTCAATTTTTTTGCTACAATGAACATGCGGTCTCCTTGTGCATATATGGAAGGGCTTTTCTAAGGAGCAAAACTTCCAAGTCATAAGGGTAAGGACATCTTCAACTTGACTAGATTGTGCCAAACTCTTCTCCAAATCAGTTGTACTAATGAATACTCCCACCAGCTGTATAAAAATGCCCCATTGCTGAACATCCTTGCCTACAGTAGGTAATGTCAGACTTTTCATTTTTCACAATCTAATGTGAGAAATAGTATCCTATAATTTTCATTTACATGTCCCTGGTATAAGTGAGGTCAAGCATCTTTTCAGGTTTATTGGCCATTCTTGTCTCCTTTTCCTAACTGCTTATATACCCCTTTTTCTATTGGGTAATATGTCTTTTTTCTTATTGATCTGTAGTTAGTGTTTCACATATTCAAGATGCTAGTCTTAAATTTGTCAATCTTTTTGTTTAGGGTTTATGATTTCTGTGTCTTGTTTAACACATTCTTTTCTATTCCAATACAATAAAGATAGTCTATATTTTCTTTCCGTAGTTTTGCTTTATGCATTTAGGTCATTAATCCACTGTGTATAAAACAAGCAAGATCTTATTTTATCTTTTTGCCATTTGGATTACCAATTGCCCTAATACAATTTCCTGAATGGTTCATCCTTTCCCCTATTAATTTGTAAATCCACCACTGTTGTACAATAAATTTCATTTATGGCTAAGTCTGCCACTAGACTCTGTTCTGTTTTATTGCTCTTTGTGTTTTTCTCATCTAAGGTTTAATATCACAATAATAATCCCTTACACTTGAATTGCTCACTAGAATTCACAAAGCACTTTCAAATCCTTTATCCAATGCAAACCTCAAAACAATCCTGTGAATTAGGTGTTATTAGCCTACATTTATTTGGATGAGGAGACCGAGGCTCGGACAAGTTAAGTGAATTATCCATGGCCACCAGATAGAAGAGGAAGGACCCAATCTCATATCTTCAGTTATCACTCTTTTCACCAGACTTTTTATTAGGTAAGGACAAGAACAGTGTTTTTCAATTAGCTCCCAAACAGAACTATGCACTTTGTCCACACACAACTAAAACAAACAAAAGCCTTGATAAATGAACAAATGCTTTAATAACTATGGTTGTCGGCACAAATATGTCCATTATGCTTATCTTGAAAATAAACTCTATTCGGAAAGTAACCCTGTCCTAGCCCCCCTAGACTCCAGCTAGCCTTTTTGCTACTGCTCACCTCAAACACAGACAATGCTGCTGTTGACGTCTATTGTGTACCATTCCTCCTCACATCAGTAATGGTTTCTCATCAACCACTAGCCCTGCAGCTCCAAAGACAGAATAGAGATGTGAACCCGAAAGTTCTGTGTCTCAGGAAGGTAGGGAAGCAGAGCTGATGCCCCCAAACTGGAATTCAATACTAAAACTCACTCACATAAGCTGTGGGACATGTTTGAGGAAGCAGGGGGCGATAGCGGGCTGTCCAACAACCCAGTATCTAGCTTAACCAGGCAAGAGTAGGTACTCTACCAATGGTTTTCACTGAACAAATAAATGAATTGCTTCATCCTGAGCCAGAATCACTGGTTTCACAGGCCCTGCATAGAGCAATTGAGAAATTAAAAAAATAAATAAACAGCCTCTGACATTCATAAGTTGGCTTGGCACTCACAGCTAGGACATGTTATTCTCCTATTTGACATAAGCAACCTCACAGAATATCAACTTCGGACAAGGTTCCTCTGAAACCTTGATAAAATGAGACCAAGGCCATGTCATAATTTTGTGTAAGCACAAACAAAAACATGGCCACCCACAAGATACCAGATACCTTCCTCTCTTTGCCAAAATAAGTGACAGCTACTTCCCTATCAATTACATACAATTTTATTCTTGGGCTATTTTCCCTTCCCTATAGATAAGATTTATTCAGATGCTCAACCACAGAATTACCATTTTGTGACAGCATCTAAAGCAAATTCCTGCTTCCTTAGACCATCCCCCAATCACCAAAGTCCAAATCCTTTAATCAGTTCTAACACCCTCTTAAGACATACCCCATGGTTCCCCACGGGGTAAGCTTGCTCTTGCTGAAAAGAGTAATAAACCCAACTTGTTTAACTAGATGTTCCTGGCAGTCTTGGGCTACAGAACATTGACATGGTACAAGTTAGACAGATAATCTAAAAGTCTATGCCTTTCTTTTTGTGGAAAATTCTCTCAGGCCTTTCTTAGTTTGTCAAGAATACTTTATATTAATTTGTGGAAGTCATCGCTAACTAAACAGAAATAACAAATTCATTTAACACCAGGGAACTGGTTCAATATTCAACTCCAATTTTACCAATAAACATGCTCATGCACAAAACTTTTTGTTTGCATATGATAATATGCTTCCTTCTAGATAGTATGCCCTTTGAAAGCGGAATCTGACTCATCTTTGTAAATCTGTAGTATCTCACATGTGGTAGAGGATTTCTTTTATGAATGTTATTGACATGTTACTTTTAAACGAATGGTAGCTGACAGGGATGCCTCAGAATTACACATAGGATATCCCACAAAAACTAAAAACTCAATTACGGAAAAAAAAAAAAAAATTTTTTTTTTTTTCAAAAACTTAAAAAAAGCTTTTGGAGCTCTCTCTCTCCAAAAGAAAATTCCATTTTTTCTCCACCTTTATAATTCTTTAACTATATTTCAAACATATACACCTTCATATTTTTAAATATACCAAATATGATAACACATGTTTTCATGTTTCTTAACTAAAAGGTTTAGATCTTTTAGGAAAAATGTAAGTATGGTGCATTCCTTCATTTGTTCAACTAATCTGCACTTCTTTCCACCACTACCCTCTAAGCCCCCTAAAAACACCTTTTCTGTTTGCAGCTTCAAAATTATCCCAAAATATCACATCCTTATTACATGACAGACATCTAGAGAGGGCAAGGACTGAGTTTATATAATTGGTCTGCATAATGCTTAACAAAATACTTAAAGAGGCTGTCGTAACACATATTTCATATTTTTCTTACGGATTGCTGGAAAAACGCTCTCTAGATGGAAACTTTGATCCCCATCTACAAAAACTTGTTTTTCTTTCTTTTTTATTAAAACGCCCTGGAACAGAGGAGAGACAACACAGAACACTTATTCGTCTTCTGAGGCAAAAGTATAATTCAGCCTGGTTTAACACATTAAATGACACACCGTGCAATGTCACTGCCTACTTGAAGGCATTCTGGCCAGTATCGTCTTTTATCTTTCAACAGGAAAACAGATTTATAGTCCAGAAGTAAAGATTAAATTCAGAAAATTCAAGTCCACACTCAAAGAACACCTACACTTTGCAAGGCATTATGCCAGAGGGGCTGACCAATCCAAACACACTCAGAGTTAAGTGGCGTGAAGGAGATTACAAAATACTATAGATGTCAAGGAGAGTAGGGGGTAAGGATGACTGTAGAAAGAACATTCCAAATTTAAACTCCAGTTCCTCAAAGACTGGAATTCTGGATGGTTTGGAGAGAAACATGGGGGTACAGGTCCTGAAATCTCCACTATTTCGGAGGCCTCAGCTTGAGAGTGTCAATGAGATCAAATATAAATGCTCGATATAACTGAAGGTAATTTTTAAATTCTCTAAGCAACTCAGCAAACCTGAGCTCACAGCTTTCAGAACAAGGGGTAAAAAGCACTTCTTCGGGGTCTTCTGGACTTTAAAATTAACAAGAAAGATTTCCACTCCTAACCGGCTGGGAGGTGGGTGTGGCCCCTCTGAGGCCCCGGCGGGTCTCATGAAGGTCGCAAGGAACTGGCTGGACCTCAGGCCAGCGCTAGACGTCCAGCCACGGTTCAGCAAGCCACTGTCACACTGCACCCCTCACCCAACCAACTCATCCCGCGCGTCCAAGGGCCTCAGCAAACCCGAACCCTGACCGCCAGGCCTCCGGGGCCGGGCTCGGGAAACCATCAGGCCGCAGACAAAGAGGAGGCCCGAGGCAGCCTCCGAGGCCCGCGCAACACTCACGCAGCATCCGAAAGGACCTGCAGCCCTCAGGGGGTCGTGGCCCAGGCCAGGTGTCTGCGGGTGTTTCCCGACAAGGGCCGGCCCTACCCTGTTGTCGCACTGCAGGCTCTCCTGTGCTCACCCGGACAAAGGGGCAGGGGGTTGGGGAGGGTCCCTGGAGCCGCGGCCCTGCGTGCGTCCCGCCGCCCGGACCCGGCCTTTACCTGCACGTCACTCAGCTCCACGCGCAGATACAGCTCTCGGTGTCGCTGAGCCCAGTAAACGTGAGGCGTCAGCACCTGATTCTCCATGGCCACACTGCCCAGGGCGAGATGAGACTCGGCTCGCTGCGCCTCGCTACCAGGTGGTGCGCGGCTGGAGCCTGCCGAACGCAGGCCGCAAACCCCCGCACTCCTGCGTGCCAGCAGCCCGCAGCCTCCAGATGCCCCACGCTCGCGGGCCGCGCTTGCGCAATGACCAGCGGGGGCGACCGCGCGGGCTCCAGGATTTAGCGAGAGCCGGGAGAGGGCGGGAAGGGGCAGAGGCGGGAAGGGGTGGGCCCAAGAGCGTCTGAACAGGAACGACTGGCGCCCGCAGCCTCGGGAGCTGCAATCAGCAGGTGCACCGCGCTTCTTTCTTTTCTTTAGGAAGATGCTTACAAATAAGGTTAAAAATAAGAAACGCTGGATATGGAACTAATCAGCATGGGGAAGGGGCTTGGGACTATTGTATCTGGAAAGTCCCCCCCATTCTATCACTTATTAATTCAACATTTACTGAGCGCCTACTGTGTGCCTGAGAGTCAAGGATAAACACTGGCGTGACAGCGGTAAGACTGTCCCTGACGACCTGCAACCCTCGGTCTATTCAAAGACGCAAGAATTACAGACACAAGTAGGATGATGATGGTTATAAGGAAAGCGGTGTGGGAAGAGGGTGGAAGAAGGTTTTCAGAGGGGAGAGTGAAGTGTAAAGGCCAGAGATTTACATCGCTGTCCCATAGAACTTGATGCAATGATGGAAATAATTCCATTCTGCTTTGTCCAATAAGGTAGCCACTAGACACATGAAGTACTTGAAATGTGGCTAGTGAGACTGAGAAACTGAATTTTTAATTTTATATATTTCTAATTAACTTAACTATCCACCTATTGGTGGGTATCCTAGTGGATAGAGCAGGAGACTTGTCTCTCTTAAAATAGGAAACCCAAACAAGAGAAAACTCTAATTTATGTCTAATTTAAACTATCTCATCTGTATCCACTTTCATCCCCAAGTCTGCCATGGTGAGAAAGCAACATTACTATGAAAACCAGACATCTGGGACAAAAATGGGACTTAATGCTTCAGTTCTATTAGCACTCATTTATAACATTTACCAAAGTGATGAGCACAGGGATACAGAGATGGAAGAGAAATAATGCCAGCTCTCAGGAAACATTTAGCTCAGGGGATGAGTTGTCTAAAATATAGAAGGTTATAACATGGTGAATGTGCTGAGTTCACAAAGAGGCAGGAAGGAAGGAACTAAGGGTTGTAGGAACCGTGGGTGGACATTTAAGAGAAAATCCTTGAGAGCTGTACGGTGAAATGTGAGGAGGAATTTGATAGAGGAAAAAGAAGAGGTAGGGCAGTGGAAGCACAGGGCAGGAATCCAAAGGTGAAGTGATATGGAAGGTTCTGGTCATGGGGCTGAGGACTTGGAGGAGAGAGGTTGCCCTGGATCTGGAAAGGCAAATAGGGAGTAGATTAGGAAAGTCTTTGTTTGCTTCAGTGAGGTGTTTGTACTGTAACCTACAGACATGTGGGAGCCAAGGAAGTTTGTTAAACTGGAAATTAGCACAATCAAATATGTGCTCTGCAGGATGACCTGTCAGTGAGGAGGAATTGGTAGTAGGGATGACAGTTGGGGGTGACACAATCTGCCAGGTATGAAATAATGAAAGCAGTAAACTTGATAGCCTTAAATTTTAAAAATAAAATAGTTTTGGAAATGATAAAACTATTTTTATTGCATTGCCTTTACTACAATACAGGTGAAATATGGGCTACCCTTTACAAATTGAAGTATAACTTACCCATAGGAAATGGGTAAATTTTAAATGTTCAGCTGAAGCTGAATTTTTATGTACATTGAACTGTGTAATGAATTACCACCCAGATCAAGATCTGGAACTATTCCAGCTTCCCAGGGGTTCTCTCATGTCAGGATGCCTTTGCCTCCTATCCCTCCCCAGAATAAAGACTATCCTGACTCCTATCACCATAGAGTAGTTTTTGTCCTTGAATTTCATATAAATGGAATCTACAGTATGTACACTTTTGTGTCTGGCTTCTTTCATTCTACATAATGTATTTGAGATGCACCTATGTTGTTGTGTGAGTCAGTAGTTCATTCTTTTTTGGATTTTGTTTTTGCGGTGTGGTATTTCATTGCATGAATATACCACAAATTATTTATCCATTCTCCTGATGATGGACATTTGCATTGTTTCCAGTTTCTAGCTATTATAAATAAAGCTACAGTGAACATTTATGTACCTGTCTTTTTTTTTTTGGTACCTGTCTTTTTATGGATATATGTGCTTAATTCTCTTGGGTAAATATCTAGGAGTAGATTTAAGTCATAGGGTAGGTGTATGTTGAGATCTAGTAGCTATTTCTAAGCAGTTTTACAAAATGTTTTTGATCAATGTACACTCTCACAAGCAATGTTTGAAAGTTCTATTTGCTCGATAGCCTTGGTATTTTCATTCTTTTTCTTTTTAGCCATTCTGGTGGGTGTGTTATGAAAAATAAAATAATTTTAATCCAGCGTATTGAACCTGAGGCTTATCAGCTGACCTCTATCCAAGGTAAAAGCTATTGATAAGCAAGGAGATTGAATCTTTTTTTTTTTTTTAAGATTTTTATTGGTGAATTGGGGGGATGGGAACAGTGCTGGGGAATTGGGGGAAGGGGGACAGACAAGTTGCTGTCGTTTTTGTTCTTCAGTCTAGTTGTGGAGGACGTTGCTTCACTGGCCCAAGTTGGCACCATCATTGCGCTCTTCCTGGGTGAGGCAGATCAGTCGCCGGCTTCTGGATGGCCGCTCACTGCGGCTGCTGGCCGCTCACGCTGGCTGCTGACCGCTCACGCTGGCTGCTGGCTACACACGGTAGCCCATGGCAACCCACTGCCACAGGGACTGCAGCCCACGCCGTCGCCGGCGACTCACAGCAGCCCAGCTCCAGGTTGAGCCCTTGTTCAGCATCTTAGCTGTAGAGGGCAGTGTCACTGGCCCTCATATGTGGGATCCGAACCGGGGCCCTCTGGCATCCCAAGCAAGTTCTTAACCATCGCGCCACTCGGCCGGCCCAAGGAGATTGAATCTTAACATTTTGCCTCGATGCTCCATAAGAAAGGTCCGGTGGAAGGGGACCTATCCAGCCTGGTTCGATTATCATCAACTTACTGGATGACTTCTCTGAGCCTGAGTTTCCATATCTATCAAATGAGAGAGCTAGATTCAGTCCCTCCAATGTTCTTACCAGCTATTTCTAAATTTTCCTGTGAAGAGGCCAGCTATTGTGAATACCTCTCTCCAGGTGAAATCCAGTCAGGGAAAAACTGAAATGGAGAGGGGAAAGAGTAGCATCCAGGTAAACTCTAAAACTAAAAGATGGCAGAGGGGATAAAAAAAAACAGAGCCAAGAGGAATTGCCTAGCTGAAGTAAGTAGGGTGAACGTTTTGTGATAATACTAGTCAAATATAAATGCAAATTAAGCACTGTCTTTGTGTCCTACCTTCTAGATGCTGCCTTCCCAGCCCCGTTTGTCCCAGGGCCATGTCTCCCTTCTTGGCCCCTGGAAGCATTTGCTGCGTGCTTGCTGTGGAGGAAGCACATGCTCAGTGCTTCAGGCTGCTTTCCTGCCTTTGGCAAGTGATCATACACATCCCTGTGTTCACCTTTTTATAGAATCTTCTATTCCTGGGAAAAGTTTTAGAACATTAGCTATATAATTTCGCTCTTTTTGCCTCACCCAGGATCCCCCATCCAGATATCCTTAACCAAAATCAGGCTTCACTATTTAGACAGCACAAAGGGAGACTGATTGGCTCAGCCCAGGAATCTACTACGGAATTGTGTGCACCCAGGTCAGAGCCCTATCACCCCCTAACTATGCCAGGAGGGTGGGCATTGCAGCCAGTTATCCACAGCCTGTCAAGCTACAGTTCAGAAGCATGTGCAGAGATGTCCCCCTTCAGGCTCAACCTTCCTTGAGGATGGAGAGTGGCCTTTCACCCCATTACAGACACTTGTAAGTATGTTACCATTTATGTAAAAATAGTGGCTTAGTGGAAAGAATAATAATATATATTTCTGTATGTGTATATGTTTATATGTCATAAAATATATATCAAATATATCAAAATATATTTTTCTATATATCCTTTTGTACTTCAAAATGTTCAAATCATTTGATGGTATTACCTATTCAAAAACATAAATATGAAAAAAAATCAGGGGAAAAGGGCCTTTTTTTATTATTTCAACTTGGTTTGTACTATGCCCCTGAAAAGGGACAAAATTGGGGAAGTGGAAAAACAAATTCTAGCCCACCATCTCCTGTAGTCAGCTGTTATTAGGGTGTTCACTATACACTTATGATCTGTTTCCTCAGCTAGATTATAAGTCTCCCTAGAATGCAAACTGCCCCCTTTTGGTATCCTGTAGCATCTAGCACAATGTGTTTCAGAAAGTAGATGCTTAAAATATATTTATTGATGATAATGCCCAGTGCTAAGAAAAGTTTTAGTGAAGTTGGCACACTCATACTGAGTATAGCTAAGGACAAAATGAATTCGTGGAATCATTTTGGAAAGCACTTTTGCAATACGTAGCAAGAAAAACAGAGATGTGTATGCTGATTGGCCTAGTAATTTCCCTTTTGGGATTTTATTCTAAAATAATTTCAAGGAAGGAAGATGTACATATGAAGATGTTCGTGGTGTTACATGATGAAACATTGGAAATTACACAAGGAGAATGACCAAATGAATTGTAGTATAGCCACTCGATGGAAAACTATACAGCTGTGCAACATGATGAATTAGAAACTAGCAATATTTAAAATGTTTATGATAAGAAAATACAAAAATTCTGGTTACAACTTTTTTTTTTTTTAAGCTGAGCCATCCTGCCACCTGTTGGCAGCTCAGCTCAGGCTGGACTCGAACCGCTGTTGCTCAGAGCTTAAACCCTTAAGCGAGCTCTTAACCAACTGAACCACTCGGCCGGCCCTGGTTACAACTTTTATAGTGCTAAGATACTGGGAAGTAACTTGTGTTTTTGTTTTCCTCCTTTATCACCCTTGATCCCTCCCAATTTAGGGAGCTAGCATGAGACAACCATTGCTTTCTGGGAGTTGTAACGGTGGGACCAGAAAACAGAGACATCACATTCTTCTCTTTTAAGCCCAGCTGCACATGCAAGACAGGAAATATTTGGAATACTATGCAGACTAAATAAAAATTATCCAAGTAGAGGAGGGAGGAAAAAGTCAAAAGGGAGCCTGAAAAGGAGCCTGAGTCTTGCCCTCACCTCCCTTAAGGGCTTCTCCAAAACTGAGGGGGATAGTAGATCCCCCACTCCCATGACAGGTTTAGAGATCTAGGAAAAGAAAAGACCCATGCTCATGCATTAGCCCAGGCATTAGCGCAAGGCCCTAGAGAAGCAGAGCCTTAGTGTAACAGCAGTGAGTGGAGATGGAAGTCGAGGGCTGGCAAGAGAGGGCCTGAGACTTCCTGGGTGTGAGTGTAGGTTCAGGAGAGCATCTGAGAAGGGCTAGCAGTTGGGGCAAAGAGGAGCAGAGCATAGACTGACAACTGGAGACTGATGGATAATATATTTAGTTGGGTACATCATGGGGAGAAAGGTCACAGTTAGGATTAGCTGGCGTATTCTTTTTCTAGGGCTGCTAGAACAAAGTACCACAAACCAGGTGGCTTAAAACAACAGGCATTTTTTTCTCTCACAGTTCTGGAGGCTATGAGTCCAAAATCAAAGTGTTGGTAGGGCCATGCTCTAAAGACTCTTAAGGAAGAATCCTTCCTGGCCTCTTCCTATAATAGATCTGGTAGTTGCTGGCAATCCTTGCTGCCCTTTGACTTATACCAGCATCACTCCAATCTCTGCCTCTGTTGTCACAAGGCCTTCTCTATGTGTCTGTGTCCCTATGTCTTCACATGGCCTTGTTAAAAGGACACGTCATTGGATTTGGGGCCCACTCTAATAGGATCTCATCTTCACTAATTACATCTGCAAAGACCTTAATTCCAAATAAGTGCTCATTAGAGGTTCTGGGTGGTGACTCTATTCTAACCAGTACAGCTGGGATAAAGGACATCTTAGCAGATCCTGGTATAGACCAGACACTGGCCATCATCCCCTCTACCAGGGAGAATCCTGAATTGAATGACTGGGTTTGCCTGGAATTAATCAAGATTACAATTTTTGCTATTAAGTGAAATGGGTCATATAAACACAGGTTGAGTTGAATGATAGAAAAACTAAGGAAATTAAATGTATGTATACATCTGTATATGGCTTGAAAATATTGCTCCTGCTACATATATAAAATATGTCTACAAAACAAAAAAGTTATGGTAGGATAGTGGGACTATTGGTGGATAGTTCTTTAATGATGTCAGAAAGTTGTATTTACACTAAATTCAAATGAAAAGAATGATGCTTGTTGTTGGTGGAGGTGGTGCAGGTAGTGCTGTCCAACAAGGCTTTGGCCATACCCTCTGGGAAGCCAGGGTTCCCAGAGTTTTCTGTTCCTTTGATTGGGTCATGCTGTAAATCCAGGAAGATATTAGTGCATGTTGCTGATTGATTGATGTCCTCATAAGCCTCGCATCCTCTCCTGTTCTGGAAAGATGACAAGGCATTCTGCTAAGACTCAGATTTGCTTTGGTTCAAGCCTTTGCCTATGAGGCCTATGTGGATACATGAAAGGTTACCAGGGTCCATGGTGGAGATGTTTCCCTACAGCTTTCTCAGAGTCTGAGGCTTTTTAAGTCTGCCCTTGAGAAAGAAAATAAGACTGAAAACCAAGAAAATTGAATTCAAATCTAGTTCAATCCAAAGATAGTCATATGACTTTTAAAGCAAGTCCTTAACCTCCTTGGGGCTTGTTTTGTAAAATCTATAATATTATATATGTTTTTTTTGTTTTTCGGGCTGTCTGTCCCCCTTTATTAGACTGTAAACTGCACAAAGACAGGAGGTTTGCCTACTTTGGTCACTATTGTAGCCCCAGTGCTTAGAACAGTGACAGGTACATGGCAGAGATTCAATAAACACTTGTTGGATGAACGAAATGAAGTGCAAAGTATTCCATTATATTTTGTTAGTAAATACACTTACATTCAAAGCCTTAAAATCTACTTTCAAGGCATGTGCAGAAAATTCACACAGGAGTCCCAGTGAAAAATGACTGTACCTTTCTTTTAGGGGAGCTCAACTAAAAAAAGCCTGAGGGAAGACTTATTTAACCTCAGAGTGAATAATTACATACTGAGGAGGGGAAGAGAGCACCCAAATGAATCTTTTATTAGTGCTATTATAATAAATCCTAATGACATACATCTCTGACACATGGTTCCTTGTAATAACAGAAATAGGGGAGGCCCAGCATTTCCACTGTTTTGTTTTACACCCACCACTTCCCCAGTCATCTCCCCAGGCTCCCTTTTTCTCTCAGCCAATGTATGGTGTAGACTAGGAAAGAAATGGCGGGTCGAGGGTCCTGCCTCTGGTTCTGATTATAGCAAGGCACTCATTTCTCTGCCCTGGGCCCCAGTTTCTCCATCTTCATATGTTAGAGTGACACACATGATTTTCCTTCATTGCAACTAAGTGACGTGTTATTATATCTCTTTTACAGATAAAGAAACCATGGCCCAAAGAGATTGAGAGATCTGCTGAAGATCACTAATTAGTTACTAGAGCCAAGCTTTCTGACTCCAAGTTCAGGTTTCTTTTCACTATAATGAGACATTCAGAGACACCCCTCGACCCCACTCCCAGGCCCTAATCCTTCCCTCTCTACATCATCTCCATGAAGGGGCAGGATTTTTTTTGCCAGGCTTGCTCCTTGCTCCAATCTCAGCGCCTACAGCTCAGCCAGGCACAGAGCAGGCACTCAATATATATTTGTTGAATGTAAATATATAGAGTAGAAACACGCTACATACAATTCATCCTTTAACTTCCAGTAAGTTCCTTGCCCCTTTCTGGATTTCATCTCTGTCCCACACTCCCGCCCAGTCTCCTTCCCACGCCTGGTTCGCTCCTCCGGCCACTAGATGGCACTGTCGTAACGGAGCCCCTCCAGCAGGGAGCGGCGCCCTTCTTGGCCCCACTGCGTCTTCTCTGGTCGGAGGGCAGGCCGCCAGGAACCGGAAGTTCCGGGTCCCTCACAGCCGCCGCCACCGCCGCTGCAGCTTTTAAGTGCTGTGTTCGCCGCCTGGGCCACCGGCGCCGTCGCCGAGGAAGTCGCTGCAGCCGGGTCGGGAGTGGAGGCGGCGCGGCATGAAGCGGCGCAGGCCCGCATCGTAGCAGGCGCCGGGACGGTCCGGGTGGGGCCGGGGCGGGGAAGGTGCAGTATCCGCCCCCTCTCCTTCCTCTTCGCCCGCGAGGCCTGGACCCCAGCCCACCCAGGCCCTGTCCGCCACACGGAGGGGCCACCCCTCGCGTCCTCACGGTTGGCCCGCTTTGCGGTTTATCTGGCGCGCCGCCTTGCGCGGGCCAGAGCCGGTGGTGGGGCCCCAGTTGCCGGAAGAGGAAGCTGAGGCTCTGAAACTCCGAGTCAACCAACGTTCACTAGGAGTCTCCTGAGCGCTGGGTGCTGGCCTCCGGACTTCCACGTCCGTTATCTTAATTGAGCCGCGCTGGGGTTGGGAGCCGGGTATTGTCCAGTCTTACAGATGAGAAAATGGAATCCCACAGAAGCGAAGGGATTTGCCTAAAGCCCGGCGGTGGCAGATCAGATTTGGACTGAGATTTTCTGGTTTCCCAACTGGTGTTCTTTTCGTTTTAGTGATTCACTCAAGTCGATTCCCTCCTTGCTTACGGGCCCCCTCTCATTCTTTTTCACCCACCCGGGACATGATAGATCCTTTCCTGTTTTAAATCTTTCCTCACACACTTTTCTCCTATGACTTATATGACTTATTCCCCCCGCCCCCCAAAAAAAACCCTTCTCGACATTCTCCGCTTGCCACACTTTTCCTCTTTTCACTTCATAGCTTCAAGATCTTTGCCTGCTGTCTGATAATGAGCTTCTCAACTAGGTGTGGACCCTGAAGAGTGAAATAGCTAGGCTTCAATGAGGCTTGGGGAGTATAAGTGGACGACTTTATTTGGCCCTTGGATTAAAAGTTAAGATATGACATTACAGTGGGTCCAAATTGAAGAGTCCTGACTCAAGCCATTTTCTAACCCACCATGCTCTCCTCTGAGTGAGGGGCTTAGTGCATGGGAAGGTGTCTTGATACCTTTGTACGTTTGTTATGGTACTTGCATAACCACCATTTTCCTTCCATTTGTTATTGAGCTTTTCTCACCACATCTCTCATCACCTGCTTGGGCTAGGAGAGCCCAAAATTAAAACTGATGACAGAGTAACAGGTTTCATCACAGATCCTCCTTTTTAAAAAAAAAAAAAAAATTATTAAGCCAGAATTTCAACAACCTTAACACTTTCTTTTCCAGAAAAGTTGCCTTAGTTATTTTCAGAGTGTACATAGAAAGGAAGGAAGAATAAGTGGAATGCATTTAAAATGCATAGTACATTCTTGTGAAAATTTTAAATTATTAAATGCAAGTTGGTTCCCTTTACACAAAAATGGCCTGATGTATAATTATTGGTTATTCTACTGAGTCTGTTTTGTCTTCAACCAGCTCAATACGTCTTATGTAAAATAATGCAAATGTATTATGTAAAAGAGGAACAGTACCACGCACATAGAAATAAATTGTGTTAATCTGTCATTTTTGAGGATTTGCAATAACCAGTGAGTAACCTCACATCTATATGCCTTTTACACTTTTTAAAGTTTTCCCATAGTTTTCCTTTTAATATATGTCTGGATGTCAGGATTTACACTATTATTAGAATATTCTTTTGAATAAATTGGGCTATACATTTCTGAAATATAATTTTAATCTAAAATGCAGGTACAAAATAAGCATTATATGTTAACCAAAAAGACTGTACCAGTTTTAAATACTATGTGACTTTCTAAATTTAGTCTTTTTGGTTACATATGATTCATTTTAATAATGATCAACAGCCTTATATCTTATTTTATTATCCTGGTGAGCAGGATTGGATGGTGAGAAAAGGAAAGACTCCTGTGAGAAGAGAGAGAGCAGGATGAGCAGAAGGATCTATGCTTGAAGTTGAGTCACTTGAAAAAGATCTCTTTGAATGTGGAAGAGATCTGAGCAGATGAAAATACAATCAGGTAGGCATCAGGGAAGGGCCTTAAGTGAAGAGGTAGGTGGGGCAGTGAAATGTATGCACCGTGCTGAGAATATATGCTAACCCTATTTTCTAATTTTTGAAATTAGAAAACTTGGGTCACATTTTTTGAGAATGTATTTGTATATAAAATTATGGAAATCTGGGCATTAAATCACTTAGTTATATATTTGTGTAAATGACTAAAATTAGATACCAGGTCTATCCTAGGGAATGCAGGCTATACATTTACCAGAAACAGAAATAGTAGTGTCATCTGAACTATAAAATTTGTGTGTGTGTGTGTGTGTGTGTGTGTGTGTGTGTGTGTAGAAAGACAGAGAAATAGTCCAGGGACCTAGTAAAATTTAGGAATACCAGATAAGTTTGCTTAAGTACAAGCTAATGCAATTTTTACATAAAGATGTCAATCAAGTTACCGTATTTCCCCATGTATAAGATGCACCCTTTTCTGAAAAAATTTGGGGTCTAAAAACTGGGTGCATCTGACACAGTGATTGTAGATTTCAAATGCCCTAGATGGAACTGAGGATGAGATAATATATGAAGACAGTGATTCGTCATCAGACATAGATGAGGACAAGCTAATGGTTGAGAGTTTTGACAGTGATGAGGAGTGGTATGAATTTTATGATGAATAAAACTTGAGTTCAATAACTTTATGTAATACTTTTTTTTTTCAAATTTCGGGCCCCAAAATTAAGGTGCATCTTATACATGGGGAAATACGGTAATAATAACTCAAGAAGCTGGGCATAAGAATACAGAAGTCTGCTTAGCTCCCTGTCCTATATTCCCTAGCCCTAATGGAGATGGAGCTCCAAATTTAACACAAAAGGAGTTGAGAAAAAGGAACCCATTTGTGTAGCGGCTTCTCTCACTTGTCTCTTACTCGTTTAGAAATAAAACTAGATACATTGACTATTTGATATAAAGTAGGTCTCCATTAGCTTTTAGGTGGGCAAACAACCACCACTGTCATGTACGCCTGCCACTCAGTATCAGTGCGCTGAATACCAGTTGAGCTAAATGACTTTTTCTCTGTTGAGCTGTTTGGATTTTAATCATTGGTGATAAATGCCCAGTTGTGATAGTATTACAAGTTGTATACCTGATATGACTTTCAAATGGCTTTTCTGGCCGCTTTTGCTACTATTACATTGAAAATGTTAGTACAGTTCTTTGTATTGGGTTGTTGGGAAAGTCATGATGCATTTTTGCATTGAAAAACATAGAAAAATATGTCATGATTTTCCCGATGACCCAATAGCATGAAAAAAGACAATACCGTGACCACACAGTTCATTTCATTTTATGTGTCATAATGCGTGCCTGATGGACTAATTCACAACCCACACCTGCTAATTACTTTTTCTCCATGGTTGGTAGTTCTTACCATGAACTTCTGTTAACCTGTCATATCGAGCTTTATAAAAGACATCATATTACATAGTCAGCCATGTATTGTTGTTTTAGAAGTAGTTAATAATTATGTGAAATTGGTTGCATAAATACAATTTTCCAAGTCCACACATTTTTGACGATCTCGTAAATAATGCATGTCAGAGCATCACACAATGGCTTACAGTAACATTTCTGTGAGGCTTTGCTCCTGTTACATTTAAATATCGCAGTAGATAAAGAAAAAATACATCTTCTAAATTTGTAAAATGAAAAGAAACATTAATAGATGAAATATTAACCCTTTGGGGATTGAACTGGTAAATTGGACCCAGACTTTATCAAAATATTTATAGTACAAATGTCAAATGTTTTCTGCATCAAATACTTCAACTAAGTAAAGCCATTTGAAGATAATAACATTTTCTTCTCATTTAATCATGAGAGTAAAACTTGTATAATCTGTAATAATAGTCACATAAATTCCTTATAGTGTAGAGTCACCTCAAGTGATTGTAAAATAGTGGTGTCTAGGCAAGAGCAGAAGACAGAAAAATATACCAGCCAGTTAAGTCTTTTGTTGCTTGGAGTTCCAATGAAAAGGAAACAGTATTTATATTATCTTAGGTAAGTGTCCTAGGAAGATTATTACAAGTACATTGTTTGCAACAATTTTATTACTGTTACAATTACTCGTGATTATTTCTGTTAGCTGAAGAAGTTCACATTTATTAAATGTGTCACTTTTTTTAAGTGCAAAAACACTTAACTTCCTTGGCACATTTAGCTTCACTATTGACATGTTCTTGGATGGAGCATAGCAGCCAACTGGCATATGGCCTGTTTCCTTCCAGAGTGGGAAAGAAGAAAGGAATTTTGGCAAGAGATACCTAAGGAAAGCCTTTTATAAAGGTTCCCAAAGGGATTTATAGTCACTGTGAAATAGACATGACCTCAATTTTTTTTTAAAAATCTCATTTTCAAACTGAACACAGAGAAGGGGGAGTTATACTTTTCTTACTAGATTTCATTGCAACTGTGCTGAAAATTTTTTTTCTTGCCTTCTTAGGGGGTGAAGGTCACTATCAGATTGTCATTCTAATTAATATAATAGAAGGCAGGCCTGTGAACAACTTCGTGCGCTTTGTTTTTTCTAGGAAAATGCAATATGGCAGCAGCGATGGAAACAGAACAGCTGGGTGTTGAGATCTTTGAAACTGCAGAGTGTGAGGAGAATATTGAATCACAGGATCGGCCTAAATCGGAGCCGTTTTATGTTGAGCGATACTCCTGGAGTCAGCTTAAAAAGCTGCTTGCTGATACCAGAAAATATCATGGCTATATGATGGCTAAGGCACCACATGATTTTATGTTTGTGAAGAGGAATGATCCAGATGGGCCTTATTCGGACAGAGTCTATTACCTTGGTGAGTGGAGTCACGGGGGTTTCTGAGAGGAAATGCTTTCTTGATTCTGACTGAGAGGCTAGATACAATTGGCACTCAAATTTTGGCAAATAAATGAATCTGATGGTTCCATTAAAGGGAAAAAAAACTGCTTTGAAAAACTTCAGTTTTGGTGCTCTTTTAATTTTGGTTTGTCCCATTAACTTTATTTTACTTACAGATAACAAATCATGAGTTGATCATGATCTTAGTTTCAAAGTCAAAGTTAAAGATGCTAGAAATTACTTCTTCCTAAAGCTAGTTCAAAATGCCTTTCTTTAGGAATGGTCAGATTAGGAACACAAACCAACCCTTAGTTCCCACTCTCAATAGCTACTGCTTTCGTTTTTTTAAACCAGGGCTGCTTTTGGTCTCTTCTTCCTGAGTCCATTCACCCCAGATTTAAGATCTGTGTAAATTAAATATATTAAACCACTAATTTACTTTTTTGTTTATTAAAATTTTAAACATTGGCTTCCTTCCAATTCTCACACACACACGCACATTATGTTTATATTTGTTTGTTTTTTAAAGAGACATTCTCAGCAGGAGTCAGTAATAATAGATTCATTCTTTTTTAAAAAGTCCAGAGTACTTCATTATATAACTGTGCCATATTTTATTTAATAAGACCTCTAATAATGGACATTTAGGTTTTTCTATTTTGCTATTAGAAAAGATGAGGTATCAAATACCCACTGTATTAGATAAGTTTGTACATGTCTGAATTTACTTATAGGATTAATTTCAAAGAGTGAAATTGCTGGGACAAAACGTACATATATTCTGAATTTTGATCGATATTGCCAAATTGCCCCTCCAATGAGGTTATAGAGTTTATATTTCTATCAGCATTGTATCTGAGTATCTACCGGGGGTGCCAAAAAAATTTTATACACATTTTAAGAGACAGTATGTATGTATTAACTTTTCAAAGTTGAATTGAATTATGGTAGCGATGTGTTGTATGACGTTCGCTCAAAAGATGGCATTAATCAAATGAATGCTAGCATCACCATGCTATAGGCAGGACAGTCAAAGAAAATGGCAGAAGCGCGGTTGTCATTCAAGGAGCACAAGACCATTCTGAAGTGGTATTTGAAATTTAAGAACATTGTGGAAGTACGACGACAGTGGAGGTGTGAGTATGCAGCAGATCCTTCAAGGTGCCTAATAGTTATAACATTCGTGATAAGTTTGAGACGCATAGTACTGTGTGAAGAAATTGAAACGGCATGCCCAGTGATTCAAGTAGACACTTTGGTCAACGTTGCTCAGGTGGTAAGGTAGTTCGCCATAATCAGAAGTGTCTGGACGCTGATGGTAACCACTTTGAGCACCTCTTGTAATTGCAAAAATCAAACATGACTTGTATTCATCTTTTGTTATCAGTATATATTGAGTATTAAAATTTTAATACAGTTTTCCTTCCTTAAAATATGTATACATTTTTTGGCACCCTCTGTATTTCTCCACATTTGTAGTAATTGTTGAGTAATCAATCTTTTTTTTATTCTTTCCCAGCCCGATTAATGAACAGCAGTCTCTCAGAGTAGTGTTTTTTATTATATTGAGGTATAATTGACATATAACATATTAGTTTCAGGTGTACCACATAATGATTCAATATTTGTATACATTACAAAATGATCACCATGTAAGTCTACTTAACTTTTGTCTCCTTATATAGATAACAAAAAAAATTTTTTCTTGTGATGAGAATTTTGAAGATCTGCCAATCTTAGCAACTTTCCAGTATGCAATACAGTATTATTAAGTATAGTCACCATGCTGTACATTACATACCCATATCATTGTGGTATTAATATGTATTTCTCTTATGAGTGAGGTTGAGCATCTTTTCACATATTTAAAAGACATTCATATTTCCTTTTCTGTGACCCCATTCATAATCATAGTCTATTTTTTATTGGGTTGTTGGTGTTTTGCTTATTGACCTAAGGCATTTTTTTTGTATAATGAGGGAATTAACCAGTGCGGTATTTTCCCCTGAGGTTTAATTTGTCTTTTGCCTTTAGTGACTTTTGCCCTGTAAAAATTTGTGTGTTTTTGGGGGGAGGCTGAGTAGTTAAATTTTTATTTTTCTGTAATTTTACATCATAGCTAAAGATTTTCCCAACTAAGAAAGGTTTTCCCAACTCCAAGATTATATTTTTAAAAATCTTTATATATTTTGAATGTTCTGTTTTGTTCCATTGATCTGTCAAATCAAGTGCCAATATTTTGCTGCTGCTCCTGTCTATTATTATCATAGCTCTAGATGTTTTACTGTTTGATAGCACTAGTCACTCTTCATCACTCTTTTTCATACTTTTCTTGACTATTTTTGTTGGCTAGTTTTTCTGTGAGAACTTAAAATTAGCTTGTATAGTGCCTTCTTCCCAATCCTGTTATACTGTTTAGGATTATATTATATTTATAGATAGGAAAATTGACAATCTTTAAAATGTTGAGCTTTTCAAGATAGTTATATGTCTTTTCATTTGTACAAGTCTTTTATATCATCTGAATTTTAAATATTTTCTTCATATAAATCCATTATTTTTAAAAATTGAATTATACTAAGAACATCAATTAATACCAGTATGTCATCAGGGAAGAATGGGAAAAGCCTGTTTTGTGCTTATACAGAACTGGTGTGTGTATGTACACAGAATGCCTTGGAAATTTTTATTGGTCATAGATGAAGCCAAGGAAGGGATTATGGAACAACGAGCAATTTTAAGAGTCAGCTGAAATGGTGGGCAGTGACTCTCATTTGAGGATAGTGGAGAACCAGTGTTTTCATATTTGAGGGCTGAATGCTCTTAGAAGGAGAAGGCTTAAGGAGGATATGATTACGTTTTATAAAATGCGTGGTATGGATAAGTGAGTGCAATCATAAGAATTCGGTAACAAAGAAACGGAAATATACAAAATAGTTTTAAGACAAAAGCAAGTGCTGAAGTAAATGTAGTCTGATATCTTTTTTTTTTTTTTTTTTTTTTTTCCCGCCACCTGTTGGCAGCTCAGGGGCTGCTCAGCTTGGGCCAGAACTCGAACCGCTGTTGCTCAGAGCTCAAACTCTGACCGAGCTCTTAACCNAGCTGAGCCATCCCGCCACCTGTTGGCAGCTCAGGGGCTGCTCAGCTTGGGCCAGAACTCGAACCGCTGTTGCTCAGAGCTCAAACTCTGACCGAGCTCTTAACCAACTGAGCCACTCAGCCGGCCCCTAGTCTGATATCTTTTTACTCCAAAAAGCAGCACAAACTAAAAATGGTTTATGAGAAGTTTAGGAAAATAAAGGGATAAAGGAAGATGTGGCTATTAGGGGGCTCATCTCCAGCCTTTGCTGGAGGATTAGCATGGAGGTTACCATCATGCCCTTCCACAAACTACCTTTTCTGCCATTATCAGAAACACTAGGCTGAGGGATCTGTTCACCAGAGAGAGCGTTTCTTGTTCTTACTGTGTGATTTATTTTTTCCTTTCTTAACTTTCTCCTAGCTTTTTGGAAGTGGTATCTTTCTAGTGCCTTTTAGGGTAGAAGGGCTTTGTTTTACTTTGAGCTTTCTTGGGTTCTCATCTTCAAGACCATAGTGTATTTCTATTACTCCTGTTTTATATATAGCTCATTCTACACTGCTGTGATGGTCCCATTCAGTTATTGCATCATGTCACAGAACAGACCTGGCTTCTACTGAATATAGACCTCTTTTCTTCACCCTTCCCCAATAAAGGACAAAAATTTTTGGCAAATGAGATTCTGTGTTGTTTTAATATGAGTACACTTTCATTTGAAACTTAGTAGTAATTACAGTTATAGTACTTCTGTAATGAAGAAAAACTAGAATTTTATTAGACCTATGTATATTTCTAAATAAGTACTTTAGTGATTCAGAAAAAGAAGAAATTTAATAATCTGAAGTTGTCACAAAGCACACTCATTTGGAATCTCATGAGTCTGTTGCCAACTTGTAAGATACTATTAATAACAATTTTATGTTTGTTTCAAGAGTGACTAAGATCTGAATATCAAAATGAAATTGAGCATTTTTCTGTGAAGCCTGGGTTTTATTGAAGAACATTCCTATGGCATGTGGCATGTGCACCTCCTACGTGTTAACATTTATTATGGATCCCATAGAGTATGAAATTTCACAGGATCTAGAAGGCATTATATACTACTATGATTGCGGTACATCGCTATTTTTAAAAATTGTAAAAAATTATTGTTTTCTCTTATAGCTATGTCTGGTGAGAACAGAGAAAATACACTGTTTTATTCTGAAATTCCCAAAACCATCAATAAAGCAGCAGTCTTGATGCTGTCTTGGAAGCCTCTTTTGGATCTTTTTCAGGTAGGATTAGACATTGTTATTTCTGTGGTTTGGTGTATGTTTTCAGATACTGCATTTATTTAGAGGCAGAAATTTAATTGGGGTTTTATATTTGAAGTAGATGTGAATCAAGGAATTAAAACATTTTTATGTTTTTGCATTTATGATCCTTAAATTCCATTTAATTCTTAATATCTGAAACTAAGAGATATTACAATTCAGATTTTTTTAACTGCCTTTCCCTTCTATAAACTTGCTAGTTATATAATTCTCACATTTGTGGGGAGGAGTTGTTTACATGAAAGAACATATTTCTGGGAAGCTTTCTATTTTAACATATTGAGGATGGGGCATTTAAATATATAGAAACAAATCTGCGTCAGCGGTTCACAATGTGTTAATTGAATTTGTTCTGATATGTAGTAATAGCATTAATGTAAGGGTTAAATAAAGGTGCTAAGTTCAGTTTTTGCTTCTAAGTAGTAGTATTTAATTTATAGAAAATCAAAGCTTAGGTGTTTTTTTTTCCTTCAATATTTTATGTTTAGACAAAATGTGAAGTAGTTGAGAACATCCCAAGTACAGGAGGATAGTTTGGGTGTGATAGTTTGCTCTTCTGGTTCTCATTTATTATTTTTGCATTGAATATTTCCTTAATGAATAGCATGTTTGGGCTAAGTGAACTAAAATGTGGTATTTCTCTTAGGAATTAAAGAAAAAGTAATTTTCTTCTATGACAACTAATCATTTTGACTGCAACTATTATAATGGATGTTGTTTTTTATATAGGTTTGTGACTTTTTTAAAAACAAAAAAAATTCCTTGTTTTAAGAACAGTGTGTTGAACTGAAATAATAGTACTTTTCTCATGGAACAGTTGGCAAATTAGTGAGTCAGAGTTCTTTTTTTAACTTTCATTATGGACTATTTCAAATCATACAAAAGTAGAATTACATGTGAACCAGTTTCAACAATTATCAAATCTTGGCCATCAGTATTTCATTGTACTTCTTACCAGTCCCCCTCACAATCCTTACCCTTGACTTCTCTGTTGAATCAGATCCCAAATATGTCATTTCACTCCTAAATGAATCAGTCTGTATCTCTAAAGGATACAAATTCTTTTTAGACAATACTATAATATCATCATATTTTTTTAAATTATTGATCATTTCTTATGAAATATTGAATTAGTGTTCAAATTTTCCTGATTTTTTAAGTAAATTTTCTTTTTTTACACTTAATTTGTTCAAATCAAGATCTTAATAAGATCCACATATTACAATTGATTGATAGGCCTCTTAAGTCCCTTTTAATCTATTAGTTTCTCTTCCATTCTCCCACCCTCCACCCCCTCCCCCAATTGCAGTTTGTTGAAGAAAGAGGATCTGTTTTGTTGATAGTATACCTGAGGTGTTACTTGATATATTCTTCGGTACCCTGTATTTTCTGTGAATATAAATAAGTAGTTAGATCTAGAAGTTTGATCAGACCCAGGTTTTCTTGTGTTTTGTTTTTTTAAAGAATACTTCATAGATCAAATGAATTGAAAGCAAGGTCTTAAACAGATACTTGCACACCCATGTTCATAGCAGCATTATTCACAGAAGCCAAAAGATGGAAGCAACCCAGATATCCATGGAAAGATAAATAGAAACAAAATGGCATATACATACAATGGAATATTATTCAACCTTAAAAGGGAAGGAAATTCAGACTCATGCTACAACATTGATGAATCATGAAGACAGGATAAGCGAAATAAGCTAGTCACAAAAGGACAAATACTGTATGATTCCACTTATGCGAGGTACCTAAAGTAGTCAAATTTCATAGAGACAGGAAATTTGAGGTTGCCAATGGCTATGGCAAGGGAAAAAATGGGCAGTTGTTATTTATTGGTTATAGAGTTTCATTTTTGCAAAATGAAAAATGTGAGTATACTTAACACTACTGAACTGTACACTTAAAAATAGTTAAGGTAGGGCCGGCCGAGTGGCGCGATGGTTAAGAACTCGCTTGGGATGCCAGAGGGCCCCGGTTCGGATCCCACATATGAGGGCCAGTGACACT